TGGTTTCCTAAAAAAAATGCAAAATGAAAAAGACAGAGACAAATGCTGAGAAATTAAAGAGATACCAAGGCAGGGTAAGAATTCACTCAGAAGTATATTTCTGTTTAGGAAAGGATGTGTCTTCCAGGTGACTGAGAGTACATCTGTGCAAAAAGTCAACTCACAGTGAACAGGGCCTAAAGACACTCCAGCGTCACTAGACCTTGATAGGAAAAAACATTGGAGGTCAGGGTTGTTTTCTTCACTCCAGTTAGCACAGGCCCCGAGGACAGCCAGGGCTCCAGTGCCCAGCCTGGGAACAAGTCCACTCGGGCTGCCCTTCAGTCACCCGCGCGCGTGCGCGCGTTAGCAGAGTGGGCCTCCCATCGTTTCCCATGAAAGCAAATGTGAAACTCAGTTAAGCCATAGGAAGGGTGAACACATACAGAGGGTGTGATTCAACGGCAAGTACCCAGAGGGTGTGACGGTGACACTTCCATCAGACACACGGGTGATTCAGTACGAAGATGGCTACTGGAGTCATGGGTCACGTCATGGACCACGAGACCAGAAGATGTGTGTTCAAGCAGAATGTGCGGTGTGTTTTTAAAAGAGGAAATCCTCATTTACATCTAGGAGGCAATCACCGTCCTCTCAGAGCGGATCAGAGGCTTCTGGGGTCCCACAAACACACGGGTGTTTGGGAAGGGGACTGTGGGACACTGCAGAGGGCAACGGAGGGTGGGGTAATGGCATCCCATGAGCACCGGGACCCTATTTCAGTGTGATTACAAATAGGATCCATCGACATGGATGGCACAAGGAAGCAGCTTTTGAGCACAGACACATCTCTAAGGGAAACAGGATCTGAACCAGCACATCAAATGTCAGGCTTATTCTTTCTTCTGCTTCCTAGGAATTGCCATTTGGTAATCTTCATCCGTGGTCATGGTAATTCTCGTTTAAAACACAGATTCCCTGGCTCCACCCCAAACCTACTGAATCAGACAGACTCTCAGGGCCCAGAAGTCTACATTTCAGTCAGGTACCCAGGGGGAGTCCTTTAATTTATTTATTTATTCATTTGTTTATTTTTAACAATTTTCCTTTAAAAGATTTGTTTTTATTTTATGTGTACGAGTGTTTTGTCTGCATGGATGTGTGTGCCCTGCATGCATACCTAGGTGCGTGTGGAGGCCAGAGAGGGTACCAGATCCCTTGGAATTGAAGGTACAGTCCCTTGTGAACTGCCATGTAGGTGCTGGGAAGCAAAACCAAGGATTCTGCAAGAATAGCAAACGCTTTTAACCACTAGGGCCATCTCTCCAGATGGCCCTTGGTGAAGTCTGATCCATACTAAACTCCTGGTCACTTCAACACACGCAGGACAGAACAGTAACGGGAAAAATAAATACATTACAATGAACCAGGGAGATACAGCTTCCTGTGCAGATTCACCATAGCATACATTTACATCTGTGCACACAGCTGTGAGGGGAAAGGAACCATCATTCATCAGTTGTCTACCATGGTGTAATTACTGTTCAAACTACCACTCAAAGCTTCAAAATAGACCAATATAAGCTTAGGATGGAAAAACTCAGGCTTACAGGGGCTTTGCTTAAGTCACCAGTCTGGAAAACGGCCCAGCTAGTTCGTGGGACTAGGTTTATCTGACTCCAGTACCCTCATTCCATTGCATTAAGCTCATATGCCCAGAAAAATAGACACACTGTTTAATAGATATACGGTAAAAGGCAACGGAGTTAAGTTACTTTTAGAAACTTTTTGCAACAACAGAAAGTTGTTTTTTAATTCATTCTTTTAGGAGAGATTCTCTGGTTTCTCTGCTGATAATGGAATACAGTGTTAACACCGCTATCAAAACCACATTTAGCCGGGCGGTGGTGGCGCACGCCTTTAATCCCAGCAGCACTCGGGAGGCAGAGGCAGGCGGATCTCTGTGAGTTCAAGGCCAGCCTGGTCTACAGCGCGAGATCCAGGAAAAGCGCAAAGCTACACAGAGAAACCCTGTCTCGAAAAAACCAAAAAAAAAAAAAAAAAACCACATTTAGCAGCCTGAATTTTAGTAATGAGAAGTATGTTTGGGAACATGCTAGGGTCAGTGATTTATGCAAGATTTATTCTTGATTTGTGCAAGCTATAAACTTATGCAAATGAAAGCACTTAATATTCATTGTGCAAACCACATTACCTTGCAGAAGAAAAGGCCCACAAACACACAATACACCGCTTGTCAATCTCATGTTCTTGAGCCCATCCCTCTGACTCTAGAGCCCAGTGACAGCCATGTTCCAGAGGCTTCTAGAAACATGCTCCTTTGAGGTTCTTTGCTATCTTGACAGGCTTCCGTCTTCCCAGGTCATTTTTTTTTTTTTCTTAAAAAGCTCAATACTCAGTCACCTTCTTCTGATAGTCTAATGGAAAACCTCTTCTCTCATCTTTTCATTTTTTTTTTCCTGTACACCAATAGCTCCTGAACTGGCCTTCCGATGGGGTCCTGAGCCCCATCTGGGTGACAGACAGCAGCTTCGGTGCTTCACACCCATATTTGTCGCCTCCTTCTCAGGGTCACCATGGTACCATGGCTCTGGGAATGCTGTGCCAGCTCCTTCTCCAGTGAGACAGCTGATGGTCGTTTCCTCTCATCTTACCACTGGCAACCCTGACTGAGTACCGTCACTCGGGGCCAGCCCCTTTTCTTGGTGGACTGCATCAGCTTTCTTCCGAAACCTCCTCTAAGCAATGCATGACAGCAGGCTCCCACTGCACAGCCATGACATTTCCTTGTTCAAAGAGCCTTAAGGACACCATTGATTAACACCTTCCAATTTCCTAGTTGGCATCCAAGACCATTATTGTTCAGCAACAAATATTTTCCAGTTCTGTTTCTCCCTGGACGCCTGTATAGACCAGTTCTAACTCAACTGGACTCGATCCTTTTCACAGAATATGCTCCATGCTTTCTCAGTCTTCCTCTACTCCTATTTCAAATGCTTCCTCAAATTACCAGAATGATTTCTGTTTATATTTACTGTCTGCACACACACACACACACACACACACACACACACACACACACACACAGAGTGTGTATGTATGTCTGTATATGTATATTTCTTGTTGGTTTTTTTTTCCAGCTCTATTAACAGTCTGAGAGGGACATGCCACTTGTTTTTCTGCTGAATTCTCCAGTCCCTCTAGCTGGGTCATACTTACGGCAGCTACTTGGTAAATATTTGCTGCATAACATTTATAGAAGTTCATAAAGTGCACAAACCACGTGCACATTCGTGGTCTCACTTGTTTTTATAGGAGACCTATGTTGTAACAAGTGGCAGTCAGTTCATGCAATTTGAGTTCCAGTGCTTAATGCGGCTCCTGGGGCTGCCTTTTGGCTTTCTACCGCATTAATCAAACAAAAGTGTTTGCGTTTTTCAACCGCTTTATTTCAGAATGCCCACAGTCCTTTGGTCTACAGAGCTAAAAGAGATTGTTTTGAATCAAAAAGTTCTCTCGTCAGACTGCATCTCCTCCTCCCCGCCTATGGGCTATGCATAAAAATTAAAAAAGGCCTCCATTGCAAGGGACAGGAATGGAAAAATGAGAAATTTCAAGTTCAATTTTAAGAGTTTGAAAATGAAAATGACATAAGTCAATCTCCAACATGCTTGAAGTTGATTACCAACAGAAAAATCACTGACAGCTGGACAAATAAATCCTTGCTAAAAGCCTGGACATGACTAATATAATTATAAAATCATAATAACCTTTTTTGAATACCCAAGAATCTCAGAGAAGTTCAATAAAAAGATAAATGAATCCAGAGGCCTGATGATTGTTTATAAATTGAAAGCATACGTTTAAGAGGTATTAAGAGTGGAAAAGGCCGGGCGGTGGTGGCGCACGCCTTTAATCCCAGCACTCGGGAGGCAGAGTCAGGCGGATCTCTGTGAGTTCGAGGCCAGCCTGGGCTACCAAGTGAGTTCCAGGAAAAGGCGCAAAGCTACACAGAGAAACCCTGTCTCGAAAAACCAAAAAAAAAAAAAAAAAGAGTGGAAAAGAATGAAAACCCGAATTGAAAAGCAAGAACTTTGAAATGTCCATTCCTGCAGTCTGTTTCTGTGTCAGATGGCATTACCTGGCTGCTGGAGCAGCTGTTAAGAGTCATGACCGAGGGATCTGGCCCCTGCCTCTCTGGACTGCAAGCTTCTGGAGGACAGACATTTAACTGTGAACTGCGTGGCCCTAGCAAAGCACTGTTGTGTATACAAAATACACTCCATAAAGGATGAGCTAGCTGCAAAGCCTCCCATGACCTGCCACCATTTTCCATTTCAATCCTTTAAATTTCTTCTTCCTCGACTCTCGGTACCGTTGGGGAGTAAATTATTAACGTACTGCCTGGCACATAAAGACATGCAACCGTTTGACAAATGGTAGTTGTTACTGTCACCACCTAGGACTTTGTAACCGCCTCCAAGGTAGAGCTCAGTGTGCTAGGCTGCCAATGCATCTGTGTGAGACCTGCAAGCATGTCTTCACGCTTGTACACTCTACAGCTAGCAGGGGCTCACCCTACAGCCAGTGCAGAGGCTGGCTGTGTTTCTGGGAACTACAGTCCTGCCTTGACCTCAACCCACTAGGGGTAACAAGAAAAACTCATGTTAACTCTCTATAAGCGTCTGTCACGTTTTGGGGTCCTTACGACTTGAGGAAGCCACAGATCTATCAAGACATGGACGAAAGCTCTCATAAAAGCTAACAGCAGAACTCGAGAAGCCAGTTGTCCTGAAGCCCTGTTTTCTAGTTCTCGCTCACCACAGGGGCCTGGCAGGCACACCAGGCGTCCTTAACAGCAGACTGCTTAAGAGTCATGGAAATTTTGCAGTACACAAACCTGGCAGGTCGAGATCATGATTCAGACCTCTTTAGGAGTCTTTCAAAAACTGCCATTTCTTATTTCATGCAGAGTAAGGAAAGATACACATTTTAGTTACCTCAGTCAGAACAGACCAGCCTTAACAGAGTTGGTTTCCGTGCCTTGGCAGAAATCACTTGGAAATCCTTGGTTCTGAGTCTTCCATCTCCTCCACATCAAGATCTAAGAGAAGACAAAAGTGCAGCGTTTCATGACTAGTTTCTAGGATTCGATATTTTAGCCACAAAAGTAATTGCAGTTAGTATATGTGGAGCGCCTCCTGTAAGTCAAGGACTGCACCAAGTGTAGCCAGTGGAGGGGCAATCTCTGTAATACCCCTCAGCTGTAGGGAACACTTCCCCATTTTACAGCTGCAAAGACGGCCATGAACCTGTTGCTGGGGGCCATACGGTTAAGTGAGCGCTGGGACTCAAATCCAGGTTGACTTGAACGCAAAACCTGTGCCCCAAAACACTAAGTTGGGGTCTTAAAGGCTTTTTGACAGTGACCCATTTTTTTCTACAGATTACATTATATAAGCCAGAGGCTTCATTAGACAATGCTCATCTTTACGATGTGCAATGCTTACTCTTTTTTTAAGTCTTTTCTACCGTACTATATATTCTAATCTTTAAAAAAAAAAAAATTTCAGCAATGACCCACCAACGGGATTCTACTAATGCGTTTTTGATCTTGGAAAAACATTGGTTTGTCAGACAGTGTGGTAGAAGCCTGTAATCCTAGCCGTCAGCAGACGGCTATAAGTTCGAAACCAGCCTGGGATGCATGCATACTGCACATTCTAGGCTCCTTAGTGAGACCCTGTCACAAAACAAAAACTCTGTTCTTTGATCTTAGCTACAGTTAGTCACTGTAAGTTTCTCTGGAACCACAACAAAACTCCCATTCTTTCCGGCCACGAGAACCCGAGCGAGCCCTTGAGCTTCCCAGTTAGAACAGTCTTTAACCTTTCCAATAGGTATACAGTAGTACAAAAACGCTTATCATTTAGAAGGGATTTTCAATCAGGCCCAAAGTCCAGCATGGAATCAGGCACTTACCCACAGCGAAGCAGGAGTTATAGAGCGGAACCGCGGATAGGTTAAAAATCTCAGGCTATTTATCAGCTAACCTGCAAAGAAGTGTCTAAGGGCGGCGGGCTGTTGAGTTATCCCAACAGACCGCCGGCTGCAGGAGGAGCAGGAGGCCGAGGCTGCAACCCCCCTGGGGGCAGGGCCCTGCCTTTGCACGTCCGGTTCAATTTCAGGGGCTTGGTGTCGCACTAGGATCTCATCACGATCCGGTAGGGTCAGGACGCGGCTCGGGTCCGCGCTCCACGGGAGGGGAGGTGCGGCAATCCCGAGCCCCAGGTGCGCGTCAGTCACCCCCCCCTCCGCCCTGCTTCCCCCCTGCAGCTGGGCCTGGTGGGGCGGGACGCTCCACCTGCGGACGCAGGCTGCCCGGCCGGCCGGCTCTGCCTCCGCCGCTGCAGCTCGGCGCCAGCGCTGCCCACCGGCTCCCGGCTCCCTCCCGGAGACGCGCGGGCCCCGGGGGCACTTACGGGGCTCCGCCGCCCGCGCGCTTCCCGCGGGGTCCATGGAGCTTCCGGACCTGCGAGTCCGGCCGCAGCGCCGCCCAGAAAATGGACGCCGGCGGCTGGGCCGGGACGCCCGTTCCACCCCCGGTGCAGGCCGGAGGGCGGCCAGACCTCGCACAGGCCCCAGGGGCGCTGCGGGCCGCGAGGCTCCGGGCCCCGGCGCCACCACTGCGGAGCCGGCGGGGACAGCGCCGCGCGGTCACCCAGCAGGCCCTGGCCACCCGGCGCACCGCAGGCCTCGCGCACCCGAGTCCTTTGCAGTTCGACACCGCACCAAATTCTCAGGGACAGGCTGTCACCTGTGCTTTCCCATGGCTGTCAGGGGAGGCCTAGATTATTTCCCAACATGGTGTAAGAACTGTCTCACCCCAAAGAGCGGACCCTCTTCCTCAAATAAAGGCCGCTGACTGCCCGCTGGCATCCTTCCTCCACCAACTCGGGCCGTGCTTGTGTGGCGCTTACTGCCTCATGCACACCTGGGTGCAGGTGTTTTTGTTTTGAATCATCCAGCATTGAGTCTTTTCATTTTTTTTTTTCCTTTGGAAAAGGCTCACTCCCAGGCTACATCTTAGGATTTTGAAAAAGGGTATTTTCCTGGAATACAGTGTTTCCCCCTTTATTTATGCACCCCGATTCCTGACCAAGCCTTAGGAATGTGACCATTTGGGTGAGTTGAGTAGATTTTAATAGTATATGCAAAGTAAAGCATCTTAAACGATGCAGGAAAGAATGGTGTCATTTAAAAACACAGAGTTGTGAAGGCTGACGGGTTGAGTAACATGCATAAACATGTAATGAGCAGTTCTTAGCCTTCTCAATGCCAAGAACTCTTTTATTCTCTCTCCATAGGCCAGTGTTCAGAAAGATCAGCTCCACTAAACTGCATTTATTAAGCAATGATTCATCTTCCCCTTAAAAAAAAAAAAGCCTGAAATGTTTTTGTCTACATAACTGCCAATGAGAACTTCCACAAAACCTGAGCTAACTTGTTGGTAATGGTGGATTCCAACCTTAAAAACAAAACCAAAGAAACTCAGGGTCTAATTGCATGTTTGTATGTTTCCATTGAGGCTTTTGAAAACTAAAAATGTCTTTAAAACTGATGTTCATAGAAGAGTCTGTAAGCCATATTGCTGTTGGTGATTCCCTGTGATTGGCAGGTAGGAAGGAGGTGAAGGAGAGCAAGGCAGTTGGGCCTTTTGGATTCAGCCTGCCTGTGTTGCCAGCCCAGGTTTGTTGCTATAAGGCCACGTCTCTGACCTTCAGCTTTGGTGTCTGACATGCAGCGAGTTTTAGTATTAATGCCTACCTCCTGGGTGTTGTTTGTTTCCATTTTTTAATAGAATTAAATAATACGTGTGAAAAGTGCTCTCTAATTTCAAGCAGGTGTGAGTGTTAATAGTGAAGGTTAACTTTAGGATGTTGGTTGTTGTTTGCAGTGATTTTCCACGGGTGATCTGCTAGGGTCATGTGGGACTGGACCCAGGTCGGACTCCAGGGTCCACTTTCTCCCCTCGCTAACATGTTCTGGGAGGTGTCTTGATCAGATGCTATCAACAGTTTGTTACTAGTGAAGTTCGGCTCGGGCTTTCTTAAGTGTCTTAGCATGTGAACGGCTCCTCACCTCTACCAGGGCATTCACAAACAGTTGCATTTCTTTCTTAGGGAGCGAAATGTCTCTCCAAAAGCAAACAGATTTCCTTAAATTGTTACTAATAACTAAACTATCACAGCAGTAGCCTAAAACTTACGTAATCATCCAGTCCCTCAAAATTTTCCATCCTCTCTCATAACCAGGCTGTCTCAATCATCCTTCTGAGTATGGGGAACTATCTGGAAATTTCCAGAAACATTCCACCTTAGCATATACACTTTACTGAAAAGGTTTTCTTTACAGAAATTTTCTTTTCTAAAATAACTACCTGGGGTGTTTTCTTTGTGGTAATTTCCATTTCAATGCATGTAAAAAGGAAAAAAGGAATCTAAGACTTTAAGTTTCTTCTTAAACTTCTGTCTGCGCATCTTTGCTGCCCGGCTCCTCGGCCTCATCCAGGAAGCTGTCTTTGTTTTCTGTCTCATTTCATTCCCACAGGATTTCTGCTAAATTGCATGTGCTTTCTGATTAAGACTGGGGGGCAGTTTAGCCCTGACTATCCCTTTTTCTTTATAGGGCTTCAAGATAGCAACTAAAAAGACTAAAATGGCCGGGCGGTGGTGGCGCACGCCTTTAATCCCAGCACTCGGGAGGCAGAGTCAGGCGAATCTCTGTGAGTTCGAGGCCAGCCTGGTCTTCAAAGCGAGTTCCAGGAAAGGCGCAAAGCTACACAGAGAAACCCTGTCTCGAAAAATCAAAAAAAGCAAAAACAAAAACAAAAAAAAAAAGACTAAAATGTTGCCTCTTTAAACCCACGAAAGTCATCCCCCCAAGTCAGCTCTCTCCCAACTCTGTCAGTTTATAGCCAACATCGCCCCTTATCAGTTCTAACTAGGTCCCCCCCTTTAAGCCTCTCAGACTGTCCGCATCCTTATCATTCTATCGTCTATCTACACCACATTCCTGAAGGGCTTCTGGGGATGTGATGCTGTGTTGACACGGACGATAGCCTCTGTCCAGGCATTTAGACTTGAGATGTCAACGTGCAGATACCTTTGGGTACCTGGCAGAGAAATGTGTGAAAATGCCTGTCCTAAGTGATGTGGCCTGACCTACAGGAGGATTCCTGTTCCACCCAAAGTAGGAATTGAGAGCCTAAGTGATGTGGCCCTGACCTACAGGAGGATTCCTGTTCCACCCAGAGTAGGAATTGAGAGTTGAGCGCTTGCTACCAGACCCAGGTTAACTGTTAGTGGAAACGGGATAGTCCAGTGAAACCCCAAATCAGGCTTTTCACGCAAGACAGATGAGACGTTGACCCTACCCCTTAAAAAAAAAGTGGGGGAAGGCCTGACAGTGGTGGCTGAGCCTTTAATTCCAGCACTTGGGAGGCAGAGGCAGGTGGACCTCTGTGAATTGAGGCCAGCCTGGGCTACAAAGGGAGTTCCAGGACATCCAGGGCTGTTACACAGAGAAACCCTGTCTCAAAAAACAAAACAAAACAAAAAATAAATAAATAAAAAGAAAGAGTCGGAATCTGACCAAGCCTTTGACCCTAGACTGTCAATTTATAGGACATCTCTGTGACAGAAAGCCACGACTTTTTTTTTCTTTTAAATAGAGATAGCAAGGACCGAAGAGAAAGAGGGAAGTGTGTGGAGTAAATGAAATCCACTGTAGTGCGGAATGACTGTGGAATTGACTTGGAATTGTGCTTGCTTGTTTAGTGACCTAACTGGACAAATTCATAATTGCCTAAGGTATGTGGTGGCACTTGACAGTATGGTGTGACCCTGCAGCTATACATGTTTTCAATAATCTACAGTTCAAAAACTTTTGTAAAGAAATATTTCAAGCTTACAGAAGAATGCCAAGGGTGCTGGCGGGTCTTTTCCTCCCCTCTCCCTCCCTCCCCTCTCCCTCCCTCCCTTCTTCCCCTCCCCTCTCCCTCCCTCCCCTCTCCTTCCCTCCCCTCTCTCCCTCCTTCCTGAA